ATTGTCACCTAATATTATCACCCTGTATTATATTTTAAAGAAATTAAATAATGAAGAATCTGCATGAATGCATGCATTGCGATAAAGCAACGGTATCTATAACCATCCGATTTCGAACAACGTAGTTTTCACCTGAATATGAGCACCTGGAAGCCGAATTTGGTATTTGTTTTATTGTCTACTTCATATTTTGTTAAACGTTAAAGTATTTTTGATTAACAAACTCAAAGCGGTTTCAAAGTGAGCAATGGCAACACTGTATGAAAAAAATATATTTATCTCCAGCGCTCGAGATGTCTATCGAAAATTCTAAAGATATGAGGTTTTTTTAGTATTTTTAGTCCAAATGCTCTCAAAACGTATACGAGTGTGCAAATAGAAAAAAAAAAAAAAAAAAAACCTCGGGGGTCTTATATAAAATCTGAAAGCTTTCAGTTTTTAATTAATGAATTATTATTATATAATGCAGCTGGTTTAACGTGTTCAAAAAGCTCAATTTTATTTGTATTCTAAAAATATTGCGGCATGGATGAACAACATCTTTTTTGATAACCCTTCATCGCTGAGAGCCAAGAGCACTATGAGTGCAGAAATTATGAATTTTGAAATCATTTTTTTTTTTTTTTTCCTAGAAGACAATTTTAAGAAAATAAAAATGGTAGAAAATGACTGTTATGTAATCATTACTTTAATATCTAAGCCTCCTGTTCCAAAGAGCCATGGACTGAAAAATCGATTGTGTACTATAGTACAGGGGTGGCCAAAATGCGGCTCGCGAGCCTGATATGGCTCTCGCAGGCAGTTTGTGCGGCTCGTGCATATAAAAATATGTAGGAAATATGGTAAGCTAAAACTATTCAGTTTCCAAAAAGAAGTAATTAATTAGTTTAAACTCTTTTTACAGAGTTATCAGGGAATTCTTTCTATTTAAAACCTCCTCCACTACTTCTGTAATGAACTTGTGGCTTTTAGAAAATATAGATGCGGCTCTCGAACATTCCTGAATTCAAACGTACGGCTCTTACTGACATGAAGTTTGGCCAACCCTGCTATAGTACATGAAATATTTTGAACACTATTGATAGCAGTTATATTTTCGCTGAAAATAATTCCAGTTCATATTAAACAGTGTGTGAGGGCATCGCATCCTTCTCTCCCTACCAACAGCCTCTCGACAGGACTTCTGCCGACGGATTTTAGTTGCTCTAAATCTGCCTACACACTACCCAAGCCTTATCCATTATTGAGCCCAGATCCAACTACATGGGAACAGCTTCAACCAGTCTATCGAATTAAACATTCTACTAGCTTAAATTAAACATAAATTTGAGCTCCTTCTGGCAGAAGATTCTGATTAAATTTTGGAAATCTGAATTCAGAAAAATTTTCTCTGACTTTATAGTTTCCTTGATTTTGAATTTTTTTCTTATCTTGAAAGCAATAAAAATCTCAAAACTTCTTTTTGGTGTTTAAATTATACATCACATCATCTTCCTTAATGGCTAAGATTTTATTTTATTCCATGCATAAATGACTTCTCAGAGAGATTTTTGAAATTTATACAAATCACAAGCAATTTATTTCTGAATCGATAATTTTGAATAGGACATACAAGACTTTGCTCTCTGAATCCGCACGTATCGTCTGGATACGTAGATTTAAACGTTTGAAAGTTCTTTTTTATGCAATTTTCTTTTTCTTGTTTTTACGTACTTCGAAAATATCATATAAAGGAAAGTGAATAGTATACAGGGTGTTTAAAAAGTAACGTAGCGTTTTTATGCTATTATCCACGGTACCATATATCTAAGTAGGCTAAACTCCTTTTTTCGGGAATTCTGTGCTATGCAAATGTCTTTGATCAAGATGGTGTCAAAAGCTGATTACTTTAGGAGCCACGAAGTTCCTAGATTTCAAGGGGCTGCAAAATCATTCTGTAATTTCTTATAATTCCAATTTGTTGCCTAGACCGGAAAAGTGGTTCGTGATTTTGATTGCCGTACCGACGAGCCCGGGTTCGAACCCAGGAGAAAGTATGGATGTAATTTGTCCAACCCCTTCAGAGGAGGCAATGGTAACCCACCTGTTAGGTTCTTCTATAATAAAAAGGCCACCACTTCTGGCCTTAGAAATGAACAAAGCCTATAAACGGCCATTAGAAAAAAATAATAATATTTCGAACTGGTAGTTCCGACCTGATTTCGATCCAAGCGAACGGGTTGGCTGCATGGGCGTTTTCGTGGTTTTCCCTATGTGTAACGTGTATACGAGCCAGTTTCCTTTAGAAAATCTTCCACGAAGACTGGCTTGGTTTGGTTTGGTTTATTTGATTATGGCAAAGAACTCCAAAGCTATCTGTCTAAAGAAAGGGATGCCTTCGTAAAGAACTTTCTAAGGAAAACTGTCTCCTATACATGTTACATATGCGGAAAACCGCGAAAATGCCCATGAAGTCAACCCATTCGAGTGATTCTAGCCTCGAACCGAACCACCGCTGTTGAGCGACTTGTACGTAAGTCGCTGGTGGACCCTCCATGAAGACATCCCTCCCTTTAGGCAGATAGCGTAGTGTGCTTTGCTGTAACCTCAATAAACCAAACCATAATAATTTTTCCAAAATTTGAATTAGAGATTTTTTTAGATGAAATTTAGAGTCATTGCTGAAAATTTTTTTAAATTTGGATATTTAAATCATCGCAGTATAATTAGAAAAATAGCTACAATCTTTACTTGAAAACAGGTCTTTCAATCTAAAATCATATAGTCTGAAATGTGTATATTTGCATAAAATCACATTCTTGAACTATTTGAAGAGGAAAATTCCTTTTATTAACTCAAGGTGAGTTTCTATGGAAGATTGTTTACTCTGTTAAGCAGTTCTAAGGCGTGAAGGCATATTGTTGCTACAACGCTTAAACAAATATTATTCGAAGATATATTCGTTTTTCATTCTAGAATAATCAAATCAAATAAGCATATACATGCTAATTTAAATGCTCAATATTTATAAAAATGTGCTTGAATTTTTCAATGGAAATACGTCATTTCGTAATATAAATTACTACATTTGAAAATTGAGGAATTTATATCAGATATTTCATGTTAAACAATTTTTGCAGCATTCAGATATTAAAAAAAAAAATAATCTTGCTCTGATTAGCAAATTAAACACCTGTTTTTCACAGGTTTATCTTTGCTACTGCGCTAAGTGCTGTGTTTGCTAAATGTTATCAACACATCGATTCATGCCTCTTTTATGAAAATGAATAACCTTTTATTCATTAACCAGACCCTGAGGGAAATTTACTTTTCATAAAAATGTTAAAATATCATGTTCAAAATATGTGTTTTTGCAACATTTAGCAGGACTTTTGAAAAAAGCGTTTTTAATGTTTGTATTCGTTTTTAGTCCTCAACGATTAGTTTTAGTTTTTATGGAAGTATTGAGTAAACTTTCAGCTTCATTCTGATATAATCTTGCAATACTGCAGCAAATGCAAATACATCAGTTGCACCGAAGTTTCAATTTAATTACTAGTTTTGTCTTCAGGTTTAATTGGTGAGGAATTTAAACAACTGACTCTCTTATAAACAGAGAAGCCAAGGAAATAAATTTGCGATTGTATGCGAGTACATAAATGCACATTTCTTTATTTTTTATAAGTGCCTGAAAATATAAAATACGTATATCCTTTATTCTTTCCTTTATGTTATCTCATGCTAAACATATCTAATAATCAAATATTGAAATTAAAATTTTCACCACTAAATAAAATTAAGTAAGATATATTATAAGAATTAAAGTAAAAACTACTTATTTTCAATTATTTTATCGGAAAGCTATTTTGTTTTAATTTTAACAAATATGATAAAAGTAGAAATTTTAATTATCATGAAATAACAGCTCTTTTACATTTTGAATTAAGTCAGCGAAGAATTTTTTAATCATGTTAAAAGTGATGAAATTTTAAATTTATATTTTAAGCAAATTCGGACAAAATTAATTAACTTACTAGAAATGCCGCATCAATTTCGCCAAAGTAGTTACTTTGAACTAATAATTACCTTTGTCGCGACAAAAGCTAAAAAACATATACTGTATAAACAAAAACGTTCATTAAATTTAATTTATTCCATAAAAAATGGCTATAATTAATTTCTCAACTTTCCGGTATTTAAAGACGCAATTGGATAAAATATCAAATAAGAAGTTATATAATTTGTTATTAATGCAAAAGCATTTAACTTAAATGATCGGAAAATAAAAAAAATATTCCTGCTAATGGTCATTTTCGCAACAAAAGTATGTGGGGGAGTTTAAAAGAGTTCACATTTTAACGGTCGCACAAAAGAACTTTTAAGTTTATTGCTGTTTATGGGTTAGAAATTATCCGTAGAGATAGCCCTGTGGAACAGCGAATCATTTTAAATGAAACTAGTCGAATGTACATTTAAGCTAATATGTTAACATTAACATATCTAACATGTTACCATATCTTCGGTAGAATTGAAAAGTGAAAAATATGTAATGTAATTTCATAAAAATATTTAAGATTTTTATGAATATATCATACATTAAACCCTTTTTGTTGAAATCAACCACAGCAAAATGTAAAGAAACACTACTAATAATAATATTCTTAAGAACTACTTCTATTTCTATAAAACAGCTTAGTTTGTTAATCAATACCAGCAGATTAAATATGAAAGATCAAGATCTGACTTATACCGAATGGCAACAGACTCGAATAAAAAATGAAACAACGCATTTATAGTGGACGACATTTAAAATGAATCAACGCAAAATCGGGACTAATAGCCCTATTGGGCTAAAAATAGTAAATTTTGTACTTTAGGTGGGCTAAAATGCACTTAAATTTCACGAAAATTATACAACCAATGTCTAAATATACGTAGGATGTATTAAATAAATTAAATAAAACTAAATAAAATTAATTCATTTAAAAATATATTGATCGATTATTATAATTGTGTCTTACCTGCATAAATTGCAGCAGATGGACTCATCAGCTGATGGGAGAAAAAAGACCTCGGAGCAGACGTTATAAGAGTGTTCATATTGCACCTTAAGTTTGTTTGTCCTTAAAATAACAAATATCCTACAGAATGGCATGAAGCTACTTTACAAAAAATTGCATTTTTTTCCTCATTCTTTTCCTTGTAGAATCATTTTCCTGGCAAAGTTGCATTTTGGTTCGCAAGTAATAAGTTCCAGTCAAAAATGGCAAAACTGACTATTCAGTCTTACCAGATTCCTCGACAAATGATTTTTCATAACAGTTTATAATTCATTTCAAATCTCACAAAAAGTTATTTTGGGACAGGAATAGCAGGAAACGACTATCAGTTTTCAGATGACACACCGCCTGGCGCTTAATTGGAGAATGTCGTCATCAATGGCACAATCAATGTAGTTTTTAAGAATGCACGTTCACTGTGTATTTTTTAAGACAAATGCACACTGTGCAGGTAAACAAAGGCAGAGGTTTCAGATTAAGAAATGGGTTATTATTACACGTTCTAACCATTATTATTTACTAGAAATTCGCTTCGCAGTCACTGTTGCAGGAAATTCCACAGAGCATATACCTCATGAGTTTGCTCACCAAAATGAGATTCACATATGGTATATTGTTACTTCCGAATGAACAGATTCTTAATGCTTGGCCTGTGTCGCACGCAAAGCGTATTGACTAGCCATCTCCAGCGAACACGCGGTACTGAATCTGGTGTCTAAACTCTCTAGAGTTCGGTGATGTGGGGAGGGGATGCAAAGCACGCGTTAGGGGGCTGTCACGAGGGGGGAAGTAGATGGAATGGAAGAGGGGAGAGGAGGACAGTTCATGAAATAATAAGCGCAGCTGGGCAGCTGATTCAAGTTTGCTGCCGCTGCTACTACATCTACTGCCGGTGGAATCGTAGCCACATGTTCGGGAGAAGTTGCTTGCTTTTGCACTTTAATGTATATTAAAGAAGATATTGCCACATTATTTTCTTCAGCTTCTTTTTTGGCGCGATTTATGTAAGTCGCGATATGATTTATTAAGGCAATATTATTTTACTGAGGCGGTAAAAAGTGTTTCATAAGATGTTTAGGCTTAAATTTGTACATGTAGCATAATTTTGAAAATAACCTGCGAATGTCCTGGCAATTTTCATACCTCCTGCTTTAAAAAAAAAAAAAAAAAAAAAAAAAGAGCCATCTTAGTAAGAAAAATAATATTGATATAAAGAACTGAGAAAAGACTGAAAAAAAACAGAAAAATATTTATGTCAACACTTAACGCCGCATCGGGAATTCTAAACGTATATTGCCTTTAAAATTTTTGTCATTTTGCTGTTTAATTGTGTATGACGTAAATGAGAAGAAATTTATATTTAATAACAAAGCTAAAAAGACACACACACACACACACACACACACAAAAAAAAAAAAAAAAGTAGTAAGAGTAAATGTAAAAGCAGACTTGTAGACTGTGATGTCAGCGAATAGCGTAAAAACCTTAACAAACCCTTTTGGACGAACTTTAAAATCTAAAACCTTTTAGATTTTTTTCTTTTTAATATTATTGCATGACTACTTTCAATTACATTACCATATTGTTAAGGATTTATAACATTACATTATTTTATATTTCTTTGCATGCATCTTTATATTCCATGCTCATGGCTTATTTCATAATAGTCTCCCATAGATGTCTAACATGTCTAACAACAACAAATTAGCAGCAAAATTAATTATTTAAATAATTCTTCAACATTTTGCTTCCTGCAGTTTGTAAGCGTTTCTTGAAAAATGATTTTCGGCGCTAATGTTCCGTGTGATTAACGTAATAGTTAGCTAAAAATGCATTTTGCTCATACAATGCCGAAACCACGAATATCTGAAATCTTGCTCAAAGATTTGAAAATATTTCGCAGAAAATGGAATCGAATCTGTTTATTTTATATGAATCCGAAAGAATGTTTCTGTTGATATAGTGTAAAACAATAACAAACACACACATACATAGAAAAAAAAAAAAAAAAAAAGAAAGAAAGAAAGAAGGAAGCCAATAATTTATATTTAAACCTACAGACAGTAAAGCAGGTAGTTTCATAGTTTTGGCGTAATGGCTGTGATATGTGAGTGTACTAATCTATTTTTTGAGCTATTTATAAAAAATTATGTTCGCCAATTGGCGTTCTAAAATTACGATCCGATCACTTTCCCTTTTCCAGCAACCAAACTGCATAGTCGCTTCCGTGCTGAGCGGGCTTCTGATGACGTAGTTCCTGGGCTGTGTAGGCACACCTGCAATTTCAACGCGACAGCTGGCAGCACAACAAAAGGTACGCACGTGGCTGCCGCCTGGGGAACCATCTGTCTGCAAGAGACTCTACCTCCAGCCTCCCCCTCCTCTTCTATTCGAACTCCCAGTTTTTTATTATTATTATTTTACTTTATTTTATTTATTTAATACTTTATATATAACCGCACACTCTTGAAGAGTACCGACGAACGGAGAGGGCGGGGAAGTGAAAGAAGCTTCGAAACAAGCTGAGAGAGCGGGAAAAAGAAAATAAATAATAATACAAAAAATAGCACTTCCATTCGCTGCTTAAGTTAAAAAATATCGTTTGGTGGGGAAAGTTAAAGGCGGATATAATGTTGACTGTAAGGAAAAAGAAGATGCCGTTAGAGTAAGCGTTACGTCGAAGTGAAGGGAGGGGAGAATTTGGGGAAATGATTCTCCCCTCTAGATGTCTTGTTTACACTTTCCCCCTTAAGGCTGGAAGCTTAATCTTAAAACGCATGCTGGCTGCTGGAGATAGACCTAAACAGTTTATTTCAGAGCGAAGGTGTAGTGTATAGGGGGTTCGTTTCGCTGCAAGAGATTTGGTACTTCATGCAATAAATAAAATGAAACTGATGCGTAAAGAAAATTAACTTCTACTGCCAACAAATAAAAATTACGTACGTTTTTCAAAATTAAATTACTGTATATTATTTAGAGTAATTCTTGTAAGATATTCGCTCTCCAAGGTTGGTGACCGAATGCTCAAGACTGGGAGTACAATGCTGGGAGTTCCAGCCGAGCTCTTTGCGTGATTGGTTTTAATGTTTTTTTCTGACATGTCACGTGAATCATCCGTAAAGGCATCCCTTCCCTTTAGCAAGTAGTCCTGATGTGGTTTGCCATTTTCAAATATCTAGCCTCTTAAAAAATTACGAAATTCTAAATATTTTTGGAAATTGAGTAATTTATATTCAACATTCGCGACATAAATTTTAAATAATATTATTTTATGCTATTTTTGTAATAAATGCTTTTTTATTTATGAAATTTTGTACGAATAAGTTTTTTGTGTAATAAATGTTCAATATGTTTTCTGTCACCCATTCCGTGGCAAAATAAAAAATATCGACTAAGATATTTGTGCAAAACGAATAAGTTGATGGTTACCTGAAATCTTAAGCAATTATTCTAAACGTGAGTAATACATGCATACGGATGGGACCAAAATGTTGTGAAATGGTAGCCAAGTTTTACGACTTTTGGCGATTTAAATTTCCCGCAAAGCATCTTCTTTTAACATGCATTTCATGTCCCATTACACACACACACAAATAAATAAATAAATAAATAAATAAAAATAAGATAATAATAATAAAAAAGAAAATCTGAGTGGTTTCAGATTTTAAATTACGTCCAAAGGAGTGTTTTTTTAACATTTTGTGTGTCAGCTTCATTTATTAAATACCATATTCTTCTCAACTGAACCATAAAATTCAGTTCAACAGCAACATCGCAAAATAATTTTAAAATGAGTATATCTTTAGAATTTCGGCTACACAATCTCGCGCGCTGGAGATAAAAATGTTTTTCTGTATTACGTTGCTATTTCTCGCTTTGAAATCCTTGAGTTTGTTAATCAAAAATTCGTTAAAGTTTTGCAAAATAGGAATTTGATAATAAAACGAATTCCAAATTCATAATTAGGGATACCAGATGCCCATATTCAGTGAAAGATTACGTTATTCAAAATTGGATGGCTCTAGGTACCGTTGTTTTATCACAACGCGAGAAAAATACATACATTTACGTAGATTCTTCATTATTTAATTTCTTCATATCAGATATAATACAGAACGATAATATTGGATGCCAACAGTCTGAAAAGTGAAACGAACATTCAGAGTGAGCCAACGCAAAATGCCGAAACGAAAATAATAGTCCCACAGGGACAAAGTCCGAATGGACTAAAAAAAATTGCAGTTTCCCATTTTAATATCGCTAAAATTATTTACATATGTGACAAACTCGTAACAATATTGAAATATGTGTATATAATATTGAAACTGTACACTACTGCGGCAATATTCTTCCGATATTTAACTCACTGTCGTCAAAGTGCCGCCCTTCAGCAGTCGCACATTTCTCCCTATATTTGTACAACTGTTCAAAGCATTTTTCGACCTCTATTGGAATTTTGCTTTCACAATAACTTCATGAAAAGAAATGTTGCCTTTGAATGAAAAGAAATGTTGCGTTTCTTTTTAGGTAACTATGGAAAGAAGTAAAAAAGTTCTTAATAGGGAAATTAATGGAAACATTCTTCTTTCCATTTTAGCTCGGTAATTGTAACAATAAGAGAACATTACGAAGGAGCAATTTCATGAAAGACGACACAGCTCTTAGATTTGCTATTCTGTGTTTTGCATGAATTGCTTCGCGGCCACAGTACTTACATAAAAAAATATTTGTAACAAATTTGAAAATTATTTTCAAGCTAGCAGAGAGTATACTTTTTTTTTTTTTTTTGTTTGTTTGTTATTAAAGGAATGCAAAACAGGGTTTGAAGGATTTTCCTTTCTTGTTGTGCAAGACATCGTAGAGGTTTTAGTAGTCCATCCAGTTTTAATATACTGATAATTCTACAACTATTACATGCAGATTACCTAAAGGCGCAAAAACCTTAACCGGAACATAAGAACAACGTAGTTCAACGCAACCACTTTTAAAGCAAAAAACGCAAGAATAAAAATCTGATACGGACACCCTTGTACGGCCTATTTCATTTAAACTTATTTTCTGGAATTTCATTAGTGATATATTTCTCATTTAATTAATTCAGTTCTCACTTCGTGGCAGGGCAAAAATACATACAACTCAGAATATCTTCATTAGAAAATGTAAAACGCACAAAAAAACTTAAAACACCAAATATAGTTAAAAAACAATTTTTACAATTAAAATTAGAGTTTTGTACGCAAAAGCAAGCAATTCGGCCAGCGGGCAGGAAGATCAAAAAAAAAAAAAAAAAAAAAAAAAAAAAACTGAGCTTACTGAGTCGTACGTATATATTATATACATCAATTAATACGTTTGGTGTAGCCGATTGCAACTAAAAAGAGACTTGCATAATTACATGTTATAGCAGTCCCATATACAAAATAGCAAATTAAATTTTTAGTTATTCGATATTCCATACATACGGATAGCATACGATATACATACGTACGGATACATATGCATAAATACATACAAACATCACGAAAAAATCTCTTCAGAATCCATTTTAAAACCTGTTTTGGATGAAAGAATCCTTTATTCTGTGCGTACGTACAGAAATCACGCAAAAAACTGATTCAGATACATTCAAGATGGGTGAAAATGGATATTTTCTTTGAAATATGATGTCCGTTCTTAGAAATATGAAATTTTTTGCAATTATAGTACTTATTTTCCTTCGTAGAAGGACGTATCCTATGAATCCCTATTCTGGAAACATGCATAAAAGTACACATCAAATGATAACATGCTTATCAAGACAATATCAACATAACAAATATTCTTTCTCTAAAATATTGAATTACGCTTAAAAATAAAGATTACCACTCGGATCATGACAGCGATTTCCGATGCTAATATAACAGATTTATTTGTAAAAAAGAAGTGCCGGACACTGAATAAGAACACCATCTGCTATTTACACAAGTTAGTCAGTCACACGTTTGCAGCTATTACCTCGTCATCTGCATGCATATCACTTAAATTCAAGAATCAAATAATCTTTACCATAAAATATTTATATTTATTGAATTGAAAAGGTTTTGTTGACTCGTAGCTATGAATGGCCAGTAAGTTTGTTTATTTTCCATGAAATAAACACGGAAACAAAC